CTATACTCATTCTTGCATATCTTATGCCAGAGCCATTTGTCAGTAGCATCTGTTAATTCTTTGGCCTGACTGAGTGAAAGCAATAGCTCATTGCAAAGAAGGAAACATGGCCAGCGAACAACTTTAATACTCCAAGAATTCAGGGGCAGCTCCAATAGCTCAACCTCACGATCAGAGATAATATCTTCTTCCCTGAAAATAGTTATTATCTCATTCCATATTATAGCAAACTTAGTTGCCTCAACCTGATTAGATTCAAGCTTATTGTAAGAGTGGCCAAGCCCATATCTAAGCTTCAACCGATGAATAGCATCTTTAAACTTGCTCTTCAGTGTGCCCCTGGCATTCAGAAGTTGTTCTTGAGGCATTAGATTGAATTGAATGGCACTGGCAAAGAACTGGAACCTGAGCCTCAATTGTGGGATATTCCGTATTTCACCCAAGTGGTCAAACAACCCAACAGCTGCTCCAACAAATGAGGAGTAGATTGAATACCAAATCTGCAAATCCATGAGGTAGATCAAGAGAACAGGAAGCCAAAGTAATAGGACAGCGAATCTGTTACTCCCCCTAAAGAACTGGTGCCACTCGTAGCTCACATCCCCCAACTTCAACAGTGCTTTTGTCGGCCCCATCATGGGCTTGATCTGCAGAAAATAACTGAAGCTGAATTTTGAAGCAAGAACCAGAATCCAGAACATGCTGTACTTGATATTGTCCACTAGACCTTCCCTCAGCCCACGTCCAACAAAAGTCCTGCTCTGAAACCACCAGGATAACATATAAAAGATCCTCCAGTTGGTCTCTTCCATAAAGTTCCTAATCCATGGAAGGATAAAAAGAGCCAATGCCAGAACCTCTGGAGCAATAAAGACACCGGCTGCAATAAGAAAATTGCCAATGTCCTTGTCAGCCTGTGCAGACCAAGCTCGATCTTGGCTCCTCTGCGACCAAATCCTCCAATAAAAAACTATGAACAAAACAGTCCATGCTGCAGCAACAATAGATTTCATTATCATTCTCACTGCAGGTCCCAAAGTTTCCCTCGAAACCAAGCTATACTGCATCGCTGCATCAAGCAATGACTTGACAAACCTCAAGCCACTCCAAGTGAAGAACACAGAGAAAAGCTTAATTTGGATATCTCGCTCCCTCAATGAATACCATGGCTGCCTACCGTCCCATGCAACAATAATTGCCGCCTGGAGAAATAGAATTAACATGACCCATAAACGATCAAAACTTCGAAACAAGTTCCAGAAAGACCTCTGTTCTACAAACCCAGTCTTGCCCACATGCCTACTCTTGCTAGAAGTCACAAAAAAGTTACTACCCACATCAATGGGCCATTTGAGTTTCTGAAAGCACCTCTTACTCCAAAAATATTCGTTAATATCATCATAATTCCTCCATACACGATGCGGGGCAGTACCATTTTTGCTACTCTCAACCTCAGATTTTATGGTCTCGTAAATGGGTTTAACAACACAATTTAGGAAAGCGTTTTCGCCCGATACAGAGGGCAAAATCGGCTGTCCAGTGTTCTCATCAATATAATCCTCCAAAATCTTATTCAATTCCATGGCCATGTGATGAAAGATATAACAAATACATTCAGGAGCAAAGCGTAAATTAGCGGACTCACCCCATATGAGCAAGTACAACGAAACGTAAAGCAATTCGCGGCGCTGATCCGGCTCACGACGATCCGAGATCCAAATGTTGGACTTCTTCCCCAGGTATGAGCACCAATTGGTGTAGTTCTTCAAAAGCGTCTTCCTGAAACGCCCTAAAACGCCGGCGTCGAGAGCGTCGATATTATCAGGGGGAGGGATTAAGCGCATCTGAGCATTGGCCAAATGAAGCACAAGATGCTCCCGTTGGTTCCGAACGTTATCCTTCTGAAAACCAAAGAAGAGAGCAAGCCAATCGAGAATATCCAACTGAGAGTGCCATTTAACATACGGCGGCTTCCGGAGGTCACCAACTGCCCGCAGTGCAGCAGTGGCAGCGCGCACCTCCGGAAACCGAAGCGAAGGATGGTCGGCAAGGAGATTGTGGATCGGTATTATATTAAAAGGTTCATTTTCTTCCGGCGAACCAGGGCGCGGCGGCGGAGGGCGGTTTCGAATACTCATGTCATTAAAAATCAAGGCTAGATTCAACAAAAACAAGATGTAGCTTCAGATTCCGTCGAACAGGTGAGTGTTTTGGAAGACAGAAAGAGCTCAAGAAGCAGAAGAACAGAAGACAAATGGCGCATTCGGAAATGGAGACAAAAGGGCGGACGGAAGCAGAAGGAGAAGAAGCGTCCTGGTTGGCGCCTTGCCGTTTTGTTCATCCCATGTACTGAACTGATTCTCCTTCCAAATATCCAAATTTAGTGTCTTTTTCCAAATTTTAAAAACTATTAAATTACAGCTGTAAATTTTTATATATTTTGATAAACAAACAAAAAAGGTTGTATATTTAAATTTTGAAAATAATTATGTCGTCATTAATTTCCGTTCTAATTCCACTTTTTTTTCCCCTTTTTTAATCAGATAAACCTATTTGTTTTATCCCAAAAATAATAATAATAATAATAATTTGCAATGCTTAAATTATATTTATATGGTATTTTTTAAAATTTTGACAAGTGCTCTTGGATCCCTATTTTTTGCCCTCTACGAGATATTTGTGTTTATTTCCTCTTAACTAATTCTAATAAATAAATAAGCCATATAATTTTTTTTTTGGCGAGCTTCATGTGGAGCCTCGACTCGAGTGGATCATTAGATTCGTTCTACTACGCGATGCAAAAGATACTAAAATAGCTCAGAATCATATCCATACTCGATATTGATTCTGAATGACATAGTTATAAGATTCGAAAGGGGAGCACCCACTCATTCTCACTTTCGACCAATATGACAATTTCGAACTCAGTCATACTTTATTTGATTAAGAAATATCTTTGGCGGGTAACTTACACGTAATATTTCTTTTTAAGCTATTGGTTGACAAACTTGTTTTCTCGGAAATTGTAGGTTAAATGGAACTTTCTTAAAAAATATATAATTTTTTTTTTTTTTAATGAGGGTTAAAGTAAAAAAGAAAATAAAAAAGGGCCGTTGATATATTTTATATTAAAAAGGCATATCCACGTGTCGAATGATGGTTGGCCAGCAGTGAGAAGGAAAGATGATTAAAGGAGCCGTTTGGTTTGAAGTTGCGTCCATCTGCAAACAGCAAAGATAATGGCACTTTTTTTCTTTTCTTTTTCTTTTTCTTTTTTTTTTCTCCCTAAAATTGAGGTTTCTAATTAATAATAATATATTTATGGTGGGACCCACGGACATCCTTTTCCCCTGGAAATATTAAAATTTAAATACAAATTATGTTAGGACCTCATCTACTCTGTGGTCACCAGCTGTGGCACGTGACCGATTGGGTGGGATAAAAAGAAAGATTTAAATACTATTTTTTTTTTTTAATTTAAGATTTTTCAAAAAATTTAATTTTTATTAATGTGTGCTATGATATTAAAAAAATTTCAAAACTACTTTTTAACTTTTATTAAAGCACGACGTCAGTTGTCCGGAGATGTCACAATCATGCTTGCCTAAAGCATGACAGATGTCCCAGTCTTATTTGTCTAAGCCGGTTGACAGGGACGTCAACCAATTGAGTGAGGGAGAATCGATCATGCATGTCCAAGGCGTTTTGTCAATAGTCGCATGACAAATATCCTGGTCTAGGACGTGTTGTCCATGGTTGCATGCTCGTTCCAAACCCCTTTTACATGTTTTCATCCTATATACGTTTTTATCATATTTCATATTAGATTAGTACGAGGGTGTATGACCATTCACCAAAATCGTGTCTATACTTGCAAGGGCTAAAATGCCCCAAAATGTACTATAGGGGACATGATTAGTTGTCAACTTTTCCCTACTCCATAGTTATATACAGTAAGCAGTTGCTTACATTCCCATATAACATCAATTTCAATTTCTCAAATCTTGCTCTTATTTTTAAATTTAAAATTACAATTAGTATACATTTAAAATATATTTTGAATTTTCGATTAGTTTTGTAAAATATATTTTAAATTTTTAAAAAATTTAAAAAATATTATTTAGACAAAATATAAATCTTAAGAATATTTGTATTAATTTGTAACTTAAATCGATATTTCATGTGAGGCGTATATGTGACGTGGCGGCCATGTGTTTCAAAATTCAAAATGCAGTAATTGAAGAGTAGAAAAGACAGGGAAACGGACACCGTAGCTTATGGAACACGAAGCGCGAGTTCCAATGTCAACTTTGGCTAAGGAATTTGACGTGGACAACCTTATGACATGTCTGCGCCAGCGTGGAAAAATAAAAGTTAACATAAATAGAAAATAATTAGACAAAATATAACATAAACAAAACATTAAATTTTGATTTACATGATCCATGTTTCAACATATCCATAAATTCCACATTAATATAAAAAAACTAAATTAATATTTTCATTAAATTCTGTTTTTTTTATATATATATAAAATAAGTGTTTACAAAATATTTTAAGTAGCTCTAACCTAATTAAGATTATCAAAATTTTGTATTTATTTATTTATTGTATTAAATTATATTTTAAGGCAATTTAAGTTTTTTTTTTTAATAAAATTTAAAAATTTTCATGTAATCACATTTAATGTCTCCAAAATCAATCCCATAAGGGAAGTTAGTGTGTTTGAAATAAATTGGAAAAAAAAGAAAGTAATTTTTAAATGCAATTATTATTTTTTTTAAAATATTATTTTTTTTGTAAACTGCTTAAAGAAAAGTAATAGTTTAATTGTTATTTGAGTGATTTTAGATAATAAAAATCATTTTCTTTATTTTTTTAAATATATATTTAATTTAATTTAATTTAAAATATATTTTTTTGCAAAAAAAAAAATAATTGAAAGATGATTTAAAATAAAATAAAATTAATTTATTAAGCTATTTAGCATTCCATTTCTCGCCTCTGGACATTTTTCGTCCACTTTTTCTTGACTTGGACCATCAATGGCTCAGGCCCAGGCTCAGGCTCAACCACAACCCCAACAACGAACACTTGAGTAATCAATTTCTTCTCCGACGACAATCCACGTTGTAGTGAGTTCTTTTCTTGTTTTTCATTAATCTTCTTTCTGCTCTGATTTCGATTGATTTTGTTCAGTTTTTGAATGGATATAGTTTGCTTGAGGTTTAGGGTTTTGAATTCTTCCTTGGTTGATGTGTAGTTGAATTGAAATTGAGGAAATGGCTACGTTTTCTTCGCTCTCTACTGCGATTTCATTATCCAATATCCCCAAAATGGTTCCTCCCAGAAGGGATGCGATTCTCAATGTTCATCCGTCATCGTCCCAATTTTGCCCCAGGTTCGAACTCAATACGAATAGATCTCTTTTCACTCTATTCACCTCCTGCCGTAAGCCTCAATTGCGTTGCAAACCTCGGCCGAGGAGTTCGGTTCAATGCCTTTTCACAGGCATTGTTGAAGAAATAGGCCATGTCAAACAAGTGGGTATTGCTGAACATGGGGGTTTTGATTTGAAGATTACTGCCAAAACTGTTCTTGAAGGTGTAAACCTTGGAGATAGCATTTCTGTGAACGGAACTTGTCTTACTGTGACTGCTTTTGATCACCAACTGTCGGAATTCAAGGTGGGATTAGCGCCTGAAACGCTTAGGAAGACTTCGTTGGTGGAACTCACGGCTGGTTCACCTGTGAATTTGGAGAGGGCGGTTCAACCAATCAGCCGAATGGGTGGGCATTTTGTGCAGGGGCATGTAGATGGGACTGGGGAGATAATCTCAATGGATCCTGAGGGGGATTCGCTGTGGATAAAGGTGAGAACGTCAGAGGCTTTGCTCAAGTACATTGTACCCAAAGGATTCATTGCAGTGGATGGGACTAGCTTGACTGTGGTGGATGTTTTTGATGAGGAGAAGGCTTTTAACTTCATGTTGGTTGCTTATACTCAGAAAAACGTTGTCATTCCATTGAAGAACGTTGGGCAGTTGGTGAATTTGGAGGTAGATATTCTTGGCAAGTATGTGCAGAGGCTCCTCAGCAATGGTGCCATCAAGCCCATTGAGTCTTCATGATTGCAAAGCCTGGAAAAAAAAATTGTCTTAATAGTTGCAATCTTCTTCTACATAAAGTTGTAACCTGCCTTGTTATTATTAGTTTTTTTAACCATTATCAACTTGGGGCTGGGGATGAATAAATAGCATGATGTGCTACTTTTTCATTGTCCCATTTGTATTTGAAACACGGATACTACTCGTTCTACTACTAAATTGAACTTCTTTTTCGGCAAAATAATGCCTTTACACTTTCCATGGGGTTGGGGATGAATAAATGGTCTGATGTTCTTGATAGAATCCATACCAGGACCAAGCTATATTGATATAAAGGATGAAAACTTACTAGATAAAGCTAGTAATTTGAGGAACTTGAATTTCAAGATTTCTTTCAGCGAGGTAATGCTTTTACTCTTTCCATATCTTTGCTGTTACATACTTTCAAGAAATCTGAGTAGAATAATTTATCTCGGTGCTGTCAGTTGATATTTAGGTGATTAGATCATGATAGATATAGAAAACCAGGTGAGACTTGAAAGTTGAATCGGCTGTATGGAGGCAAGCCAATCTAGGTTAGATCAACACTCCAAGGAGAGAACTTTTTCAATTAAGCCAAGATATTGATGTTACGTTGCCATTTTTAGTGCCTAAACTAGATGGAGACCATAGGAGAAGTTGCAATATCGCACAGTGATGGAACATTTACAACTTTTAATGATTCCAGGCTTCAACTCTAGGATGGATGAATAACTTATTGAAGATTTATGTGAAGGGACTAGCACGAACTTTTTTTGCTGCGCTGGTGTATGTTCCAGCTTTTATAACTGAAATGCTTCCCTTTCTTTGTTCGTCAGCTGAGTACATGGAGTCTTCTTTCCAGTGGTCTTTTCTATTTTCTTTTTCTCAGTTGAGATTGCCTTCCTGTTATTTCAAACCTCTACATTCTCAAGTTTTCATTCCATTCCATCAGGTGCTGATGTTGACTGCTAATAAATTTGTTTGGTCTTATTCCTGCATGTTTTTTTTTTCAGAGAGTATGGTTGGCTAATCACGGTAAGGGGTCGATAAAGGTTTACTCAACGAGGTAAACATAATATTACTCATGCTTTATTAATTGATGTTATAGAATCTTCATATGTGCAAGTAAAGCACAAGAGCTACATCATAGTTACCTTCTTGAATATATACCTTATAGGATATGTTTGATGGATTGTTCTTGAACTAAAATGGGAGTACTAATCGGTAGTATTGATGTGAGATCCCACATCGGTTGAAGAGGGGAGTGCATTCTTTATAAGGGTGTAGAAATTTCTCCCTAGCTGATGCATTTAAAATCCTTGAGAGAAAGCTCGGAAGGGAAAGTCCAAAGAGGACAATATCTGCTAGCGGTGGGCTTGGGCTGTTACAAATGGTATTAGAGCCAGGCACAGGGCAGTGTGCCAACAAGGACGCTTAGTCCCGAAAGGGAGTGGATACCGGGCGGTGTGCCAGCGAGGACGCTGAGCCCCAAAGGGGATTGACACTAGGTGGTGTGCCAACAAGGATGCTTAGCCCCGAAGGGAGGTGGATTGTGAGATCCCACGTCGGTTGGAGAAGGGAACGAAACATTCTTTATAAGGGTGTGGAAACCTCTCCCTAGCAGACGCGTTTTAAATCGAGGAAAAATCCCAAAGGAAAACTCCAAATAGGACAATATCTGCTGGTCGTGAGCTTGAACTGTTGCATTCGAGTTTACCGGAAGACAAGTGAATATATGTGTTATTGATTAACTAATAGTTACTCTATTCAGATTGATCTTATCCAACCCAAAGTGATGATTATGAATCAGCTCAATTTATTTAATCTAGATATCAAACAATGGATCTAGACGGACTGTGAACGATGAGTCCATTCTTTGCTGAAACATTCCTGGATGGATTCAATTGTTTATTCCTATTAAGGGTAGGCAAGGAAAGTTCTTAAATTCTGGGACCCAGGCTGAAACTGAATTTTGTCATGTTTTTCATGTTCGGTTTCTCAATTACCTAATCCCTTGAGTTCTCTCGTGTGATGCTGATCTGTTATGAGGTTTCGTCTACAAAAGCATATCCTGCAGCATATTATTTGACCATAAAAAGTAACTCAGCTTTGTTTTTTTATTGTTTTTGTTCTTTTTATGGATAACCATGAATGTCTGGCTGGTTCCCAATAGTCAAGGTGATATACTAATCTCATAGGTCAACTGCTCGACCACCCAGCCACCAATATTTGTAAGATATTTAAGAAAAGAATAGCAAAGTTTGTTTTAGTTTTAATTTCCTGATTTGGTTGGATGTAGGGCATGGGAAGAGCGCTGGCTTTTTGATATGAAGTTGTGGAGAGGGCAGATATTTGCAGCCAAATGGTAATTTGACCACTAAACCAATCATTGAGCAACAGCTAGTACCACAATGTGTAAGGAAATGAGAGGTCAAAGTCCCCGACCTAGTGATAGATGGGACAGAGATTTTTCATTCTAGTTGTACCTAAATCTAGACTGTGATGAATGTGTTAACTTTATACATTGTTTTAGAAAAATCTCTGCATCTTAAAGAGTTTGTTTCGTTAGAGCTTTGATTTTCAAAGTTTTCTTAAACCTTTAAATAAATTACTCTTCTAGTTGGAAAGAAAGGAAGGAAAACTATTAATACTTCGTTACAGATATATTTTTAAACTTTTAAAAATTACATTTATACCCTTAATCTGTTTTTTTAAAAAATAAGGCCAAAAGTCAATTTCTTTAAAATTATCTGATGTCAAAATCGAACCTATACCTTTGTTCCTTTTATATGGATACTCTCGTTTTTTTCATTATTCCAATTAAAGTATAAAATCTCACATCTCAAAAAGTCATATTTTCTTTTTTAAATATTTAATCCAATATAAAGCTCAAGTTATGCCAAGGTACTAAAAATAATAGCAAAATATGAAGAAGAAAAATGGCTCCTGCTCAATTCACACTTGAACAGTAATAATAATAATAAATAATAATTCCCAATTCATAAAATTCATGTAGAAATTAAATAATAATAAGAACAATAATTGTATTGTAAGATAATTATATTTAATTCTAAGTTTTGTGGATGCGTGAAAGGAAATCGAGGGTCTTTACGTCATATGTAAAGATTTTTAAAAAATCAATAGAAAGGTTGTAGGGGCAAGAAGGTCATTTACTCACATGGAACAGGTGGCCACTGCCGCGCCTATTATTTGTGAATTACAAAAATTCCACTCTCCGCATTATATATATATATATATATGTCATCGCTGCTTCATCCAAACTGCCTTCTTTTCTTCTTCCCCAACCTTTCTTCCACATTTCAAAATGAAGAAATCGGGCTTCATCGCCGCCTCTGTCGTCGCCGCCGCCGCCGCCGCCGCCGAGTCTGCCTCTCCCAGTTCCTCCACCATTTTCTTCAACCTAAAGGTTCAGCTCCCTCGGCAGGTAAGCCTTGGTCAAAGATTCATCGATTTCCCTCTTCCAAAAATTCGTTTGTTCTTTGGACATAAAATTCTGGTCTTTCTTTTGGTGTTTTTGAGATGTGGGAAGTTTGAACATGCAGGAGGGAAAGGAAGGAGAGAATCCGTCGTCCTCGGCGGATAAATTTGCTCCCAATTTTGATGGATTGAAATTTATTAAGACTCTGGTAACGGCTCACAGATAAACTGCCCCGGCGACGGCGTCGGCGATGGCCGGACTGAACTTCGTATACTGCCTTATTTTGTTTGTTATTTTTGTCGTCTAAACTCTCACATTTTGCACATTCAAGATAGCAAATTGAATAATAATTTTAGTTTAAAGTATAGATTTTTCTCGTCGAGAATCATTCACCGCTCCACACGTGGACTTGAAACGACAACTAAGTCATAAAAAAGATGGGAAAATAAAGAGCTTTTCTTTTGAATGGGCAAAAGAAAAGACCTTTTTTTTAACAAAGATACAAACAAACCCCATTTACCTAAAAACTCCAATCCTATCGGTTTGATTTGAAGTTGGAATTCCGAAATGATTAGAAAATTCCTCCACTTACAGAATGGTACTCACAAATGTCCAGAACTTATGGATATCCAATTCCTCGTACCCTGCACGGTTATGCACCTATTTGTTTCTTTGAGGTCCGAGATTTAAACTTTCATCTTCAGTTGTGCTTCGGGATTTAGTTCATTTAAACTCCAGTAAATTAATGTATGGTCAAATGTCAAACTATAACATTGATGTTTTGATATAATTCTAAAACTATAAGGATGAGATTTAAATATCTAAGAATTGAAAACTTTCACCTCAGGGGTTCCAAGGAGCGTCCTCCATTAGCAAAAGCTGCTTGCATGTCTTGCTTTATAGGACCGCCCCATCCAAATAGGTCAAGTGGTGAAAGCTTCTAATAGTGTTCCCGGAGTATCTTCCAATGCTTCACCCTGATTTTCTAATTCAACTGAACTCAACTTCGAAACTGAGTTGAAGCTCAAAGAGAAAGGCTTGCTGCTGCTGCAGCAGTGCAGGTGTGATCCCATGATGGTTGAGACCTTCACATTCAGACAAGCTCATAAAGTCAATGTTCTATAAAAGAATTCTGTTTTTTCCTCAGACTCAAAATATGTGAGATCCCACATTGGTTGAGGTTGAAGAATGGAACAAAACATTTTTTAGAAGGATGTGAAAATCTCATCCTAGTAGACACGTTTTAAAATTTTGAGAGAAAATCCAGAAAGAAAAATCAAAAGAAGACAATACCTGCTAACCGTGAATTTGAGCTATTACAAAAGATATCAGAGCCAGACACCGGATGGTCTGCCAACAAAAATGTTGGCCCTCAAAGGGAGTGGATTGTGAGATTCCATGTTAGTTGGAGAGGGAACAAAACATTTCTTATAAGGGTGTGGAAACCTCTCCCTAGAGGGGGAAGCCTAGAAGGGGAAGCCTAGAAGAGGAAGCCCAAAGAAGAAAATATTTGCTGACGGTGGACTTGGATTGGAAACTCGCTGAGTTTACACCTCAGAAGGAGCCAGTAGCCAATCGTATGCATGGAAGATTCTCCCCCAGGCCAATTTGGATTGTTTCTGCATAATTGCAACAATCATCAGAACATAGTTTTAAAGTGGGTTCCAAACGTTTGGTCCACCACAGTATGAATATTAAACGCCACACAATGGAACAGCTACGAATGAAGCACACCAAATTTGAACAAAAAACCAAAATAAAATTATGAATGTCCATACCAAATGACGTTTTTCTTTTATTGATTTCATGGCCTCCTAGAGCAAGGACCAAAATAACATTATGAATGTCATCCCAAGGGACCATTTCACTTTAGTGATTGGGCAATTTGAATATAAAAGCCAACAAAGCATATGGAATTTCTGCTGGGTAGTGCCATCTAAAAGTAAGGATGCTATACTTAAGATGTTGTACTTAAATTGCTTATGTGGACAGAATCTGAACTGTCCAAGCTCACCGCTAGTAGACATTGTCTGTTTTATCACACTACGTATCATCAATAATATAGTAAACAATCTCTCCCTACTAAATGTGTTTTAAAACCATGAGGCTAATGACGATACGTAACGAGCCAAAGCAAAGAAGATCGCTAAAAGGATGATAATTTTGCTAACAGATTTGATCTGTTTTCAAAACTATATAAACTTTAACGGATTTGATTGACATCCTTTTAGCAGATATGTGATGGAATATCTGCTAACAGATTTACGAGAAAATTTCCCGAGTTTTCAAAATTCAGGAAGATGGATTATCATTCCGGCTTACAAAGACAAGCTCCCAGCTTGAGGCAAAACTGAGCCGAACATCTCTGACCAACTTTCCTTTTGTGTTGGACAATGCATAATCCTTAGTTCAAAAGTCTTCTCACATTGCTAAGTTCAAAACTGATCTATTTTCCATTGGTTTTAGTAATGTCAATCCATTCCAAGGCCCACGGCATTTTCTAGCAGCTGCTGTTTGCCGGGTTGAACAGAGTATCTAAACCATACTTCTAATAATAGGTATCCATAGGACATTGAATTCGATCCGTAATTATGTTTCTTAAACTCCCAACGCCCAATCCCCCTAAGAACTTACTTAGACAAGTTGGCAACTCTCAACGCTCCTACAAGTAATTCTACCACATCTAAGGGCACTGCTCCCACAATCTAATGACGATTAAATTAAAGTTTCGTCAACTGAAAGAAAATAGGGACAAACTACAATTTCTTCATACAAGTTAGCGTTTACTCCATTAACAATGTTCAATGAATTGCTAGCAAGAGACAGAGAAACAACAATTTAGTGCAAGATTTATAAGAACCCGATGCAGTAGCAACCAAAACGTAACAAAGTAAAAGAGCTGAAAAACATATTCAATGGCTTGTGACACACCTGAAGCTTGCCCCATTACCACCAAAACTCATTTGAACATCAATACTTTTCCTACACTCCTGCAACTTGATCGGAGCTTCTCTTGGTTCAGAGGTGGAAGCGCAGCTCGAGTTGCGACCGTCGAGGTTTCTGGCGATGGAATCCATCTTGGGTTTTAGTTTGGAAATGCGCGAGACGGAGAGCAATTGAATGTGGAAGATTCTAGAAGAAGCAATATTATTATTATTTAAGAAATTGGAAAAATAAATAAATTTATAATTTATACTCGTTTTTTTTTTTATCACCCTATAATTTTATAATTTTATTTATTCGATTTGAGTATAATTTAAAATTCCCTAAAATACAAAGCATTTACACATGAAATTCAATTTTAGAAATTCAATCACTTGAGAAAGTAGGGAGTTTAAAAACAAAAATCAAAATAATTTACTATGACAACTGTTTTTTTTTTTTTTTTCCTTCACCTTCCATCAAGTTATTTAAAGTAATAGATTTAATTTGCTATTTAAATTATATAAACATCTTAAAAGTTTTTGGAGAGGCAAACCAATGCTTTTTGTTTCTTATAATTAAATTCTAAATACATTATTACAGGCATTCTTTATCAGAGTGTAATAAACGTCGGCCAAATAAGCGAAAAATAAATTTTCCACCGATAAAACCGATATTATCGACAATTGTCGTGAAGTAAACAAACTCACCTCTGTCAGGCCCTATTGTCAGTGCGGATGTCAAATACCCACGTTTAACACTTTGCCGCCCAGAGACTTCCACGACATCCGGCGGGAAATGTAAATTTATAGAGAACGATGGCTTTCAACTTTCACATATTACCGATGTGGGACAAGCTTTTCATTTTCATTCCTTCCCTTCTCTCTCACGGCTCCACCCGTCTTCATACTGCACACTATTTATTCTATATTTCTATTTTCATTCAATTAAATATTTTGTTTTATTTATGTATTTAAATCTTTAATTAACGTGCTGTGCCTTTTTTTTTTTTTTTTTTAATAATAATAATAAAAAAACTATCCTATTTTTGTCATATGCTTACATTTTTTATTGCATATCTTAGTTTAATAAATTTAAAAACATCTAATAAATTATAAATTTATTAATTTCCCGAGCTTCCAACTCATTATTTATTAGATTCTTTACCTATTCAATATTTTTTTTAAAAAAAATCACTAATTTATTTAATAAATAATTTAAAATTTAACGTCTTATAAAAATAATATTTAATACTATGCCTAATATAAAATGTTTGATTTTAATCTTGAAGTTATAAGAAGGTTAAGTACAGTTGATGTCAACTTTAATAATTCGATAAGTTATCAAATAATTATGGAACCTTAAGTCACTAATAATCCAAAGTTAAAAATTAATTATTTTTTATTTTTATAAGTCAAATATTGTTCTGTGCACATGGAGACCAATATGATAATAATTTGTGGATAAGCTCAAGCTAGTGGTGATACGTAGTAGAAAAATATGAGTCAGACAAAAAATTTAGATAAAATAAATATTTGTTGATCTACATGCGTGTCGGTCGTTCGAAGACGGTGCATTATCGTGTGCCGTTTTGTTCCATTGAATACTTGCATGCCACGTATGCGACTGTTGTTTAGGAATTTTATATTGTTAATTGATGTCATACATGGTGGACATGACGTGGAGGTTCCTGATCGTCCATTCTCAACCGTTGAACTTGTCGACTTCGCTAAGAAATGAACGGTGAGGATTTACTTGCATGGTAGGCCGACCGTTAGACCAATTACAATGAACGAGATAACGTGACGGGGTTTTGGGGTCAAATGTCAACGCTAAACTTTATCCATCCAAATATATATTTATTTTTATATATAAAATAATTAAATTGTTGTTTATGAATATAATATTTGTGGAAGTATTTATAATATATTTGTCACCACTTCTTTTTCATTTTTTTGTTTAATTGAATTTAATGCATGATATTTTCTTTGACATTTAATTTAGTTCACAAAATAATAATAATAATAATAAATAAATAAATAAATAAATAAATAAATAAAATGTTAGACACAGTTTTAGCGGTTTATGCATCTACTTAATCTATGGAGCTGTACTAAATGAGAAGTAAACAATAATATTATTTTTCTACAAATACAATGTCTTTTGAAATAATTTATACCCATTTAGAAATGTTTCTTATTTAATATACTAAAAAACACTTAAAAAAAAACTTTAAGGGAAAAGTCAATTCTACCCTTAAACCTAAAACACGTTAAATTTTATCAAATGTGACTTAGAGAAATGCAACATGAAAGATAAGTTGACTTTCAAATTTTTTGTGGAACAGTTGACCTCGAATATTAATCACATGATATCATTTTTGTGAAGTCTTGCGACAATTTCAGCTCTACCGATGAAAAATACAAATTTTGTTGTGAAAATTGATACACGATCTATTTATTATTATTATTATTATTATTATTTGAATTAAAATGCATGATTTATAAATAAAATAAAAAATAAAATTGAAGGGTTTTTTTTTTTTTTTTAATGAATGAATTAATTGGACGTTGACATTTAAAAAGAAAAAGTTATTAAGGTTTCCTACTCCCCAATTATGAATATGGATGGTTGGGAGGAAAATGTTTTTGGTATTTTATTAATGGAATTTATTAATTAGGTAAGTATCAAATCGACGGGACGGACCACCACACTGCATCTATATTTACCAAATTAATTTAATTAAAGCAATGGAATTAGATTCCGACCATATTATAAAACAAAAATTAAAAATAACAATATGGTTTAATATTTTAAATATTACAAGTCAAGTGGATAGCCAATTGGCTGCTACTTGTTTTATATATAGATATTTCATAATGCATTCAATGCATAACATAAGCTTTTCTTTTTTTTTTTCTTTTAACAATATTTTTAAAGAAAATTTTATTAAAAAAAGGTTAAAATTACAATTTTCTTAAAGTTTAAGGTTAATATTGTGACATTTAACTAAATTCGAGGTATAATTATATAAAATTGAAAGCGGGGAGTTGACAAATTTAAACACATATTCTTATATTATCTCGGAGTGAAATTTTCTTTAAGTTTAAGTAATTTTATTTATATGCTTAAAATATTTTTTTATAAATAAAGAATGAAATATTATTATTTTTACGAAAATGTGGGATAGAAAAAAAAAAAAAAAACTAACCCACCATTAGTATCTTCCACATGGCTCGGGGCTGGGCTCTAATACCATTTGTAAGAACTCAAGCCTACTTGTATAGCAGTTTTTAAAATGTGGTCCATTGGAGAGAGATTTCCACACACGTTTATCAAACCCTAACTAAAAAAAATCTATCCCGACTCAATATTGAATAATTTGAATTGCTAGAATTATTGGTAGTCTAAAATATCTTCAACCAAACATATCTCAAAATTAATAAATATATATATATAAAAAGTTAACCATCATGAAAATAGAAAGTTTATTAGAGAAAAAAATGGGATTTGATTGAAGAGATGGCAGAGGTTGGAAGGATACCAATGTTTTTTTTTTTTTTTTTTTTTTTTTTTTTTTTTTTTTTTTTTTTTTTTTTTTTTTTTTTTTTTTTTGTCGTATTCAGTTATTTGCATTAAGCTGAGACGCCGCATCGTCATCGTCCCATCTTCTTCACTTTCCCTTCCTTTTTCTATTTCCGTAGAATTACAGATACCCTCGCTCTCCCCTTTTCTCGTCCCTATATAAACACCCTTCAAAACTCACCATCACTCTGTTCTTAATTTTACGCCCATTTAGCCCTTTTCAACTAAGCTTCTTACTCATCCCGCGATTCGGTTTCGGTACGTTTCTATTCCGCCCTTTTCTCTCTGTGTGTTACTTCTAGATGGGGTTGTGATTCTCAGGGGAATGGACTTTTTAGATCTGTTTGCTAATGGAGATGGGGTTTTTGTTCTTCAGTTTCTTGGTTTAGGTTTCTCTAATGGAGATGGGGTTCTTTGTTTTTGAGTTGATTTTCGTCGCTTCCAACTCCAACCCCGTTCTCCTGAATGGATTTTTATTGGGTTTTCTTTGTTTTCTGGAAACTGTTCTATTTGTTGAACAGTAGGCAATTTTTCATGCTCTGTTTTTGCTCTGTTTTGTGTGGTGGAGCGTGGTGATGGCTTCATTGAATCATTTTGTTTTCTGGGTGTTCTTATTTGCCAAAGATCATAAGCCAATAGAACTTTTCTCAAGTGATAAACATCGATAATCTTGTTTTCTGGGTGTTCTTATTGGCTCCTTGAATCGGAAGTTCATCATGGTTTTATTAATTGTAGCTTGGGCTTGAATTCACTTTTATTAATTGTTGGGATTGATGCCTTTTTGATTTCTTCTACGCATGATTATGCCTTTCGGATCTGTTTCCCAAGTAATAGACTGATGATTCTTTTCACTTTCTAGTGGTTTGCTTGCATATGAGTGTATCTGCTTCAAAAGAAAGCTTATAGATGCTTGAATTTCTTAATTAAATAAATTGAATCATCTGGGTCTGTCAAGATCATCGTATTCTGATATTTATGGGAACTTCAGAAATCATCCAAATCATATCCCAGTTGGAGGTTTCGTGAAAGAATGTTCCAAGAACTGGCCCTTCAGATTACAATAATCTATGAGCTCAGGAACCAATGGATTAGGATGATTGTTTGGTATCTTATCACTGCTGCAATGGATGGGATGTTTTTGGTTTATTGATGAGTGCCTAGTTCGGCGTGTCTTCATAGCTTCATCTTATCCAAATTCCTGTGTTTTTTTGTCTGTTTCTGTGTGATTTTCTGATCAAATTCTGCAAGATTAATGAAATCTTGTATTGGAATTTTGTTGTCCTCTTGTTCTTCTGAGTTCTGACATTGTTTTTTGGACATGAAAACAAGACATGGAGCAGCTATACCTTGTTCCAGATGCTGATGAAGGAGTATCCCATGGCTTTGAATGCAACATATGCTTAGACTCAGTTCAAGATCCTGTTGTAACACTTTGTGGCCATCTCTTCTGTTGGCCCTGCATTTACAAATGGATCCATTACAAGAGCTTGTCCTCACAGCAACAATGCCAGCAAGAGGAATGTCGATGTCCCGTTTGCAAGGCCGAGGTCTCCCACGCCACGCTCGTCCCACTTTACGGCAAATTTCAGACTACAGCTCCCTCCAAAACTAAACCACCATCAAATCTTGGTCCAGCCATCCCACGCCGGCCTCTTGGTCCTGCCTGTGGGGCAGAGCCACCAGCATCTCCAAGCTCTCAACTTCATCATCACAACTATTCTCAGTCACACAACGATTACATCGCTTCATCGATGCTTAGCTCAAGCAGTATTACAACGAACATTATCCATCCTGTGATTGGAATGTTCGGTGACGCAGTTTACACAAGAACGTTTGGAAACACGACGACAAACCTATATACTTATCCTAATTCATATGGTCATGTAAGCAATAGTAGTGTAAGGCTGAGGAGGCACATAATGCAGGCTGATGAGTCGCTGAGCAGAATCTGTTTCTTCCTGTTTTGTTGCTTAGTGTTTCTTCTATTATTCTAAGCAGCTCGCTTTAGATCATTTCTAGCCATTGGATGTATATATATATAGATATAAATGTTAATACGAGCTTAGTGTAATCATGAATGGATTCACATTGCTTTGATTTGGACATTTCGTAAGCAATCGGCAAGTTGCTGCATTTGTGACCCATCTTCCACATAACACGTCTACTCACCATGTTTTGAAGCTCCAATTGAGTGGAATCGGACTGGATTTGATGGCCAGTTCGTCTGAACCGAACGATTTTATTAACTATCTAACTTACTTTCGATTGAAATTGTAAAAGTTCAAGCTCTAAAGGGTTTTCTCTTAGGTGGGAGGGGTTCCACTTCTCTATAAGAAATGTTTTGTTCTCTCTCTAACCAACATAGGATCTCACAATCTACAGACAATATCTGCTAGCGGTGAGCTTGAATTATTACAAATGGTATTAGAGAAAGACACAGAACATTGTGCCAACAATGACGTTAGCTCCCAAGAGGTGAATTGTGATCCCTAGTAAACCCATTTTAAAATTGTAAAACTGATAGCTATATGTGTCGAATCAAAACAGGCCATTCACTAAAGTTGTGTGTTAGAAATGTTACAGATATGTGGTCACGTGATTGTGAAGGAATTTCTAATTTAAGAACACTTTTGCAAAACGCTTTCTGTAAAGGTTTGGTAGGTTGTTAATTTTAGCCAATGTAGGAATAGTTTGATATACTTTTTGTTTTTCGTTTTCAATTTTTTATATTTTTATATTTTTAATCTAAAAATTTTAAGGAACCAAAATTGATCATCAAACATTTAATATATATATATTAGATTAATAATTTAAAAAATAAATAAGAAATGACCACACATGCCAATAATGTCTCCAAAGAAGAAATGACCGCTCATTCCTGATCTCTAAAATGCCCCCATCTTTTGCCCCTTCAAAAGAGGTGATCAGATGTCCCTTTCTGTCTTTTTCCACATTCCCTTTCGTCTCCTACAAAATATGTGAGCCCAAATCCAAAGAAGGAATGCTTAGTTCACTCTCCAACCGACGTGAAATCTTATAATTTTTTATCCCGCAAGTTAATTAGACATCTCCCGTCTCCCAAAGTCTCAAATCATGGACAATTAAGCATTAAATTCTTCAACATTGGCATGCCTGATTTGACGTGATCCAGTAATATACATACAACGAAGTCTGACCAACAGAAAGCAGACCGGTGAAGAACCAATCTATATATAAAGATACTCCACGCCCTTCCACCATATTATTTACGATGACCTTTCATTTACAATGACCATGACAATGTTCAACAAAAGTTTGTCCAGCAGCTACGAAGAAAGTAAGACCTACTGTATGCGAAGCCTACTACTGTTCCGACCTCGACGATTTTGAAGGTACTTCCTATACAAAAGCTCCATAAAAATGCACCAACTTGAGATGCTTCATATTTTCCTGCAATCAAGTCGATAAAATTCAGGAACCGATATGAGAAATGGGAGCAGTTTCTAGACAGACTGGTTTGGTTTTCACCTGTAGAGTTTCTTCAGATTGGTAAGGGAAATGGAAACCTGTCGAACAATTCTGCAGAACCTCAGGGCTTTTCATCCATGCTCTTCGGGCATCGCTCACCTTTATTTTGTATTTAAAGATCTATAGCCGAACAGAAAGAGGTGATTGTTAATGGTTACACAGCAGGTAATGAAGGTATCTATCTTTCCTTTAAGGACAATATGTAACAGCCCAAGCCCAAGCCCAAGCCCAATCCCAATCCTAAGCCCGCTACTAGTAGATATTGTCCTCTTTGGGCTTTCCCTTCCAGACTTCCCCTCAAGGTTTTAAATCGCTTCCACTAGGGAAAAGTTTCCACTAGGGAAAAGTTTCCACACCATTATAAGGAATGTTCTGTTCCCCTCTCCAACCAATGTGGGATCTCACAATCCACCCTCCTTGAGAGCCAAGTGTCTTCGTTGACACACCGCCTGATGTCTGGCTCTGATACCATTTGTAATAGCCAAAGGCTCCTACGGCTAGCAGATATTGTCCTTTTTGGGCTTTCCCTTTCGGGCTTCCCTCAAGGTTTTAAAACACGTCCACCAGGGAGAGGTTTCCACATCCTTTTAAGGAATGCTTCATTTCCCTCTCCAACCGATGTGAGATCTCACACAATAACTTCGACTCACTCTATTTTAACATAAACATGTCGTCAATGAAATTCTCTTAGATGGAGACTCCCTAGAAAAAGCTTATAAATGATAGTCAATCCTTTCTAAACAAGCTCATTTAAAGATCATAATAAAGGATGAGAATGCATTTCACACTGATTTGCCAGGCCAAAATGCTACCCAAGATGACATCTATACGCTACATAAAAGGTTAAAGACTACGGCTTTTGATTACCTATGCCAACCCTTCAAGCTTAATTAAGAAGCTTTGCTTGCTTTACTTGCAATTTATACTTTATATTGACAAAGTAGCAGAGTAACTTAAAATATTACTCCAGTACTTAACTTAGTTAATTTGAATAATCATGAAATGAATCGTGAACATAAGAACCAAGTGATATATGAAGATAATTTCAACCATTCATAAATCTAATATCATATAATGAACACGTTACTAACAAGAACCTGAACAATTAAAACCAAACGATCATGACTCATGAACATAAGAATCGACGGGAATAAGAACGAATTTTAACAAAAGCCTATTTCATGTTGCACGTACCTCAGAAAGAGGGATAGTTGGTTTCTCTAGGTCATCCCCATCAACAATTACACCGGTACCTTGACAAGCAGGGCAGAAAACAGAATCAATTTGAGTTTTTATTTGTCTCGTTTCGCCGTTCTTGCTGTATTTGTTGCCCTTAGTCTTGTTCTTTCTCCTGTACCTCCGTCTAACTTTTGAACCACCAAGATTCTTCACACTCATCTCATACTCACAGAGAAGTATCCAGTGTATAAGGCAAGAGGTATGAAATACATGAAACACCTAAATCAGCAAATGTCGTAAATAAATGAACGTCTAAGCCCGTACCAATATACACGTCATAATTGACAATCATATCACAAATTCTGAAAAAGAAAGAACTGACATTACCCCATTAAAATTTCTACTACTGCAGGCAAGTCTTCCAGTTTTCATGTTCAAGAGTGTTGCTACATCTTTATGAGTAAGTATCTTCTGTTGACAGATATCACACATCCGCTCTGAAGCTAAACGCTGTTGCTTTTTCAGCTCACGCTTTACTGACTTGTTCAACATGACTGTTGTATTCAAAATTCGATCATCGTATCTATCCAACAACAGTGACGACATGACACAATTAGAAGCTGAAGAATCTTCACCTGACGAATCATATTGATGGCTCATAGACTGACTAACATCCTCAGAATCAGAGAAACATTTCTTTCGTTTCACTCTAGAGTTATCATCAGTCTCTGGTTCAGCTCCGGTACTTGACGAGAGCAATAACTTGACATCATCGAGCAAGCCCTTTCTACCTAAATCAACATTGTAAGTGAAAGTAACAATAGCACAGTCATGTACAGGAACTTTGACCTTATTCTCGAGCCCAACATTTACTTTTCCCAGCCATTCACACCATATTCTGCTAACCCCACATACGATCCCATCCTTCTCAGTAAACCTTGCAGCAATTTGTCCATAACCCAACTCCATCACTTTTATATCAGAAATTTCATCCTTAATCAGTACACCAGGAATCACCAAAGGACCATTGTCTCCACCGTCGTCCAAATTCTCGAAGGAACAATCTTCCACGTTCCGCACATTTCCATTAAATTCATCATGGCCATTGCCATTTCCTTTAGAATTATCAACATAGCTGACAATAGCAAGATTGTTATCATTGTTGTGATACTCCAACAACCTTTCATGATTGTCGTTTAAACTCCGAACCTGGTTATCTCCTTCAACTGGCTTATGGAAGAAAAGAACACCATCATCAAAAGGCCACGGATTTGGTCCTAAGAGTGTCAGCTTAGCAGCAGATAGTCTTTCAGTGTGAAGAGTGCCCTTCAGGTGGTTAAAGAGCACTGAATCACTATAACATGGTGCAAGACACAAAGTGCAGAAGAAAATAAACCTTTTCCCATCTTCTCGTAGCTCAACGTATGAGTGCCCTTGTGACCTTACATTGCGTAGAATCGTTCTAGCAGCTTGTTCTCGAAGACTATATGAAGCAGACTTCGGGAACCCCAACTCCATCCTTCTAGCCATCCAATAACTCTCGCTGAAGAGCTTGGATTCAATTTAAAGATTCAAAAGTTCCTTCAAAAAGAGTCGAGAAAGAGAAACAACAGCTTCTTTTTTTTTTTTTTTTTTTTTTTTTTTTTTTTTTTTTTTTTTTTTTTTTTTTTTTTTTTGGAGCTAACAAGTTGGGATTGAGGGATTCGAAGAGAAACTACAGCTTATGAGAGCCATATGAAACCCTAAAGCACTTACAATCGAAAAGAAATATCTCATCGACCATGAAAACTTCGAGTAGTCCCAACAACAGGAACAACCAATTTTCAAATTGAACAAAATTCAACAAATATTCGCAGATTCGAGAAAGAATCTTCGAAATTTCAGACCAAAGCACATCCAAAACCTATGAAATTAATGAAACCCTAAAGAAAACTTAAAAGGGCGTAGGTTTAGATATTCGCTGCGGACTTCGTAATGGATTTATCGAAAACCGCGGAGTTCTTCCATCCTCGGTGAGCGATACGCGGGAAATGGAATACAAAGCGTGCGAATACGAACCTTCCAACTCCAACTCCATCTCCATTGGTTACAAATCGGAGGGCAAACGAAGTCGAAGATTTCGAAAAAGGGAGGGGAAATGGATGGAAAAATGATGTAAATCTCACAAATTCCAGAAACCAGCAGATTAAAACTGAGAGCTGAACCGATTTCTTCGAAGATTTTCCCGAAAAGCAAAATACAAACAACCGAAAAATAGTTGAATCGAAAGGAAGGAGACGAACAATGAAGAACATGTGCACTTAATTAATTAAAAAGTATCGTGGGATTGAGCACCGAAACAAAGCAAGTCAGGCATTCTGAGCCGTTGGATTGAAAACTAATTATTAATATGTGTGATGGACGGCTCAGATTAGGCAGTTGATATTATAAAGATAGAAGCGAGTGTAGCGGAAGAGGAAGAAGATTCGAATATGAGGAAATCGAGATGCGTAAGTGGATAGTTGGCTTTGTTGATTGAGATAAGCTAAAGAGACAGATTGTTGAAGGATCCATCGCCACGTGCCTTGCTTGTAACGTAAGCCTGGGACGCCGACGCGCCTTACGTACCAATTCTAAACTTCATTTCCAAGTTAAGTCTATTTACTGCTCTCAAGTTAGAAATTTTGATTCAAAATTATCCACAAATTAGTCTGCTAAATGCGAAAGCTGCCGAGCTTGGCAACGATTTGGGTTTGTTTGGATGGATTAGGACTATAAGCCTGCAATCTGGGTAGCTTACTGTATCAGTCCCGGTTCTGTCGGTTTTGCAACTTTTTTTGAGCACATAACCTGTTTGATAAAAGGGCTGAGAGAAAATTTCCCCCCTTTTCCCATCCGGGCTTTCTAGGAAAGCTTTTAAACAGTTAAATTGTTCGGTAATTTCGAACTTCTGCATCTCTCAAGAGCCATTTTGTCCTTCGTCTTATGTGGGTTGTAAATGAAGTGTGGATCCATGGAGAAGAACGGGTGTGGAAACCTATGCCCCGAGTGGATGGATTGTGAGATCCCACATCGGTTGGAGAGGTGAACGGAATACCCTTTATAAGGATGTGAAAACCTCTCCCTAGACGCATTCTAAAAACGTTGAGGCGCGAAAGGAAAAGTCGAAAGAGAAATATCGTGAAAGTCCAAAGAGAACAATATCTGTTAGAGGTGGACTTGAGTTGTTACAAATGGTATCAGATGCAGACACTGAACGATGTTCCAGCGAGGAGGCTGAACCCCAAAGACGAAGACACGAGGATGTGTGCTAGCAAGGATGCTGGGTCCCGAAAAAGGAGAACGAAACATTCATTTTAAGGGTGTGGAACTCTCTCTAACGCCTTTTAAAAACTTTGAAAGAAAGTCCGAAAGGAAAAGTCTAAAGAGGATAATATATGCTAGCGATGTACTTGGGCGAGACATGGTTCTCGTGAAGGCAGCCATTGCAGAACCAGAAACATTCAGCGTATGGGTCTTCATGTTGATCCTCTGAGGACTGCGGCTATGAATCTCTACAAGAAGTTTGGGTTCCAAGTTGATAGCTTTATGGAAGGATACTACTCTGCGGATCGAGATGGCTATAGAAGGTACATGACGAGCATTTCTATTGCAATTTTATCATGCCAGTGTGGAAATACTTGATGATGGCGATGAATTTATGGATCATATGCAGGCAGGACATTTGATTCAATTAAGAAAAAAGGAAACCATGTAAGGTCCAAGAAGGTAACTGCTAGCTAATATTGTCTTTTTTGGATTTTACTTTTCGGGCTTCAGCTCAAAGTTTTAAAATGCGTCCAAGAAGTTTAAGTTTTACACATTTATAAATAATGTTTCATTTCTCTTTCCAATCGACGTGGGATCTCACAATCCACCCTCTTTGGGGACCTAACGTTCTTGCTGGCACACTGCCTGATATCTACTTTTGATACCATTCGTAATGGCCTAAAGCTACTGCTAGCAGATATTGTTTTCTTTGAGTTTTCCCTTTCTGAATGATTAGAACCGATGATTTCTCATTGGAGTTGTTTCAATTTTATCTAAGTTGATTAGAACTGAATGATTAGAACCGATGATTTCGAGTCTTTTCTTATTTCAACCCAAGTTGTTGAGCATATTAATTACCCTGTTTATGCCATAAAATCAATATCTACGAAACTGATCTGGTTTCTTTGATCCTTGCAGGAACCCTGCAACAGAAGCAGCATATTAACTTGTATTGAATCCTCCCACTGCAGTTTAGGTGTGCCATCTCCTCCATTGGGCTCACTCATTTATGGCATGTACTTGGCTTTATATTGATTCATTTTGCCATTCTTTTCCTCTCAGGAAAGAAACTAAACCCGAAAACTCGAACCGGTCATGGAGTTCTTGGTAGCAGCATAATGTAAATGAACCCTCTCGTGGATCATAGTAAGCTATTCTCTTCTTGAACTCTGTAGATCATGTCAGCACAAGCTTAGTTTGTTCTATGTCATATTGACAATATAATATACAGTGCAAATAACATTATAGAAATTGATATCTGTTTTTAAAATCCTTTTCAGATACGATTCGCTAGCCACATGTGTTTTCATCATGCCTTGATTTTGCTGCATCTTTGTTTGCATGTATCATGGCATCAAGTATTAAACGTTCATAGTTCTTGAGTAATCTAATAGACTTTAATAATAACAAAAACAGATTATATTATTGTTAATTTCAGATCTTACCATTCACTGTAGTCAGTCTGTCATTTGTTCAGATCTTCTAAGATCTTGTAACGAATTTAGTCCTTGCTTTTAAACCCTACCTTGAAAATCTTGGTTCCTCTAAAAGTCGTCTTGTAACGACTCCATATCCACGGCTAGCAAATATTCCCTTTCGGGATTCCCCTCAAAACTTTAAAACGCGTCTGATAGGGGAAGGTTTCCACACCCTTATAAATGAGATTTTGTTCTCCTCCCCGATCAATGTGGGACATCACAATCTACCCTCTTCGGGGCCCAACGTCCTTGCTGACACTCTTTCCTTTCTCCTATTGACGTGGGACCCTTGCCAAATCCACCCATTTGGGGCCAGCGTCCTTACTGGCACACTGTCTCGTGTCTACCCCTTTTGGGGAACAGCCTCCTCGTTAACAAATAGTCTAGTGTCTAGCTCTGATACCATTTGTAACGACCCAGAATCCATCACACATCCTCACCGATTTAAAACGCGTCTACGAGGGAGAAGTTTCACACCTTATAAGGAATACTTCGTTCCTCTCTCCAACCAATGTAGGTTCTCACAATCCATTCCCTTGGGAGTCAGTGTCTTGGCTCTAATGCTATTTGTAACGGCCTAAACCCACCGAACATATATCGTCCGGTTTAGTCCATTACGTATCGTCGTCAACCTCACAAGTTTAAAATATATCTATTAGGAAGAATTTTTCACACATTTTATAAAAACATGTTTTATTTTTCTCTCCAATCGATGTGGATGTTGCAGGTTGAGTCTCGTCTCGTCCTTATCTCCTTTGCCTACAACTCTTAGAATGAGAGGCATAGACATGATTAACATGAGTGTCGGTGAAAAAATGAAAGTGGGAGAGAATTTGCATGTGAAAAGGGACAGATAAGAGGGGCCTTGGAGATTGAAGGAATTGATTACAAACATCCAACCAAGTGGGTCCAGTTTGTTATGGATATTGGATTTATTTGCAAACTCTTTGGATTATTTGTCCTCGTGTTTCTTTTAAATACGTAGACTTTCTATCTAAGGTTTCCCATTACACGTTTATTAAGGAGAGCTTTCTACACAATATAAATTTTGGGGCCAGCATTCTCACTAGCACATAGTCCAATGGCTGGCCCACCACTCAATGCTTGCTAGCATGAAATGGTAAGCATTCTTGCTAGCACACGGTCCCACCAAGCAGTGCAAGGGTAGTTTTGAGACATATTTGGAAAAGGATAATAGTAATTTTGAGACAACTAGCCAAAGACAAATATTAAATATTAAATTTAATCCTTAAGGTTATAGTTTATTATAGATATTTTTTTCCAACAAAAAAAAATAGTTTGTATTAATATACCCTTTTATAAATTTTGAAAATATATTGTCACGTCATGAATATTAACTATATGTTATATGATTTTAATGAATTTAGCAGTTCTATTGGTATATTTTAAAATTTTATAAATATTTAATAAACAAAATCAGAGTTAAAAGAGTATATATATTATATGATTTTAATAAATTTAGTATTATGGTAGGGCACGTGGCCTAACTAACGGTGGAAAAAGACTAAAATCTTAGACGCCGTACGATTATGCGAAATTAACGCCTCAACTGTCGAAGGGTCCCACATGAGGGGCATTCTGTAATTAAAGTCAAAATCAGTGGTCCAATTGGTATTACAATTGATACTTTTTTATATTTACTTAACGGCCCCCTTCCAGTCTGACCTGCAACATCTTCTTATACTTCCTCTCCAACAAACACCGCCGGCCACACCATCCACAATCCTCTCACTCAACTGTTTTTTTCGGTCACTGTGCTCGCCGGAAACTGACATTATCGGCTGAGAAAGCGGTGTCGCCGCCTATACAGACGCAAATGCATCTCCTCCTCCACTGCCGTGGTTTTCGGCTCGTTAGAGCTTTGTTCTGTGCTGCGGCTGTGCTTGAGTGGTTCACGGCGACGGCTCAGCTCCAACACCATGTGGCGGATCTACATTGGCTTCCAGCCACCGCCACGTGGTACGGAAGTCCCGAGGGAGACGGTAGCGACGGTACGGCGGTTCCATTTCCCTACACTTCATTTTTTTTTCGTTTTGGGCTTATTAGGGTCTGTAAATTCATGGGTCGGCTCTGTTTTTGTGAAATACTGCCTGGAAGTTACCGTCATTGAGTGAATTCGGTAAAAAATTGATTATATGCGGTTGAATTAACAAAAACCCAGCTCATCAATCACTTAAACCAACCGTAATTTCACCATTTTGAAGTTCATTGCTGCTAGAAATTAAGCGATCTGAGCTGTGAAATCGCAGGTGGAGCATGTGGGTATGGTAATTTAGTGGATGTGAAGCCTCTAAAGGCCAGAGTTGGGGCTGTGAGTCCAGTTCTGTTCAGAAATGGCGAAGGTTGTGGAGCTTGTTACAAAGTAAAGTGTTTAGACAACAACATTTGCTCTAGACGAGCAGTGACTATAATCGTCACCGACGAATGCCCCGGTGGGTATTGTTCCAATGGCAACACCCACTTCGATCTGAGCGGCGCCGCCTTCGGCCGCATGGCCATCACCGGCGAAGGTGGGCAACTCAGGAACCGAGGCGAAATCCCAGTTATTTACCGACGGTACAAATTCGTTCCAACTCTGTTTCATTTTTTATCTGTTTTTCTATTTTGTCGCTTATTTTTGGATGTTCTAAATGTGTAGGACGCCGTGTAAGTACCCAGGCAAGCACATTGCGTTCCATGTCAATGAAGGGTCGACAGATTACTGGCTCTCACTCTTGGTTGAATTCGAGGACGGCGATGGCGACATCGGCGCAATGCAAATCAAAGAAGTAAGTAAAACACACCCTCTTGGCCTTTCTCAAGCATATTCCATTGCTTTAATCACAATAATTGAAGACAAAAAAAGATAGAAAAGCTGGGTGTTTTAGAGGGCGTGGTGCTTAATTACACGTTGAAAGTTGAATCCCAGTGGAAGAATCTTTAGAAGAAAAAGCATGCACTTAGCCACATGATTATAAAAGAATTGTGGCTGACTAAACATGATATTGAACCAAAGGAAATGCATGTTTTGTGGCAGGCAGGGTCGGGGGAGTGGGTGGATATGAACCATCTGTGGGGGGCAAATTGGTGCATCATTGGAGGGCCTTTAAAGGGGCCATTCTCAGTGAGATTAACAACGTTGTCCACAGGAAGAAGCCTCTCAGCAAGGGATATAATCCCAAGGAATTGGTCTCCCAAAGCCACTTACACTTCCCGACTTAATTTCTTCTCTTAATAAACAAAGAGATAAGAGGAGTTTTTGTTCCTTATTATAATGCACAAACCCATATTAGCTTCCTTTTTGTTTTATGCCTAAAGGGAAGACTCCATGGCAGGAAAAGTAGCCGTTATCCGTTTTCTTTAGTGAAAAAAGTGATCGCGTTGGAGTGCGAAATGGCATCCAATGAATGTATCTTTTGTTTGTTTAGTTTAGTTGTGGAGTGTGTTGGATATTGAATATTGAATGTTGATAGCCCTCTCCTAAGTGGAGAGAGAGTGTGGTGTTGTTGTGTATTATTAATTCTCATCATCTAAATACAAGCATACTGCTCGATCTCAGGAACTTGTTTTCCTAGTTGATTGTTGATTTAAAACAAGTGGTCCTTGTAAACACTTTTGAGAGCCAAGTAGTAGATAAAGAACAAAGATATAACCACTTAAATCCACCACTAGCAGATATTGCCTACTTATGCCCCATTATGGACCCCAGTCAGTCTTAAGCAGAAGTTTCCACATTCTTATAAGAGATATTTTATTTTGAGTGGGAACCAACGTCTTTGCTTGGCACACTAGCATACCGTCCAATGTTTGGCTCTAATATCATTTGTAACAGTCCAAGCCCACCGCTAACAGATATTGTCTACTTTGGCCTATTACGTATCATTGTCAATCTCATGATTTTAAAACACAGTCAACTAGGGAAGGGAAAGGTTTCCACATCCTTATAAAAAAAACACATGTGGGATCTCATAGAAGATTTTGCACCCATTTTTCAAGTTCGTGCAGCACGAGGCAAATTGACACAAAACGCTAAAAAACTTAATGACGTGACAAAAACAATCTTGATAGTTCTTTAGTATCTATCCTGATTGGTGGTTCGTCTACGACAGTACAATACCCGAACATCCATTTCGAAAACTCCATTGCCTAATTGATGTGGACTTTCTCAATTCTGAATGAAATTCAGTTTCCCTACTTGTAGACATCGATTGCTGATATGATATAATTAAAAATGCTTTGGACTATAATCCCATCCAAGTTCTACATGTTGCTTCTGACCCAACAACTTGACCAGTCAGACCACCGGTGATGGTTGAACCCCATCATTGCTACCCGTGAATGTTCCCTCCCGTAGTTATGCGTATCAAATAACAACATGGACTGCTGCTCTACAACTTTGCAAGTCTGTATTGTTAACTTTTCTATGAACAGAGAACCCATAAGATGAACTGCTAATAATTTCTTACTCTGCAGAAGTTGACACCAACTGAACAGTTCGTTCGGCATCGGTTGTAGTAGGAGCCTCGACCTCTATTTCGGGTCGATCAGGAGTATCATTAGCATCCATATCTTTCGCAGGAGACATAGGAGCTTCCTTGTCCTCAACATCCTTCCCTTCGGATTTCGTCCCATACTTCGTATCTTTGCCATCCTTGCTATCTTTGGGCGGTTCGGGTGGAGGAGGCATCATATGAGGCGGAGGAGTCTGTCTCAACTTCAAAAGAATCTGCCTCATTCGAGATAGATCGGTCGGTTTTCCAGGTTTCGGACCTTGAACTACCACGACTAAAGGATTCTTATCAGCATCTTTCTTTCCTCTTCTCTTCTCAAAATTAGGTACCTCTCGTGGGATGATTTCTACTATTGCTTTCCAGTAATGTTTGTGAGCTTCTTTGTGGAATTTTTCCTGGTTTATTAGGTAAAGCTGCAAGGAGACATTCACAAAATGCTTTCAGAGGCTTTTACCTTCTCTCTTTCTCTATTGTGAGTTCTATTTGTTTCACAATTGACCCTCCTTTTCTCATAAAAGGATGCTTTATACTCTTCAACTTCATTCATTATTTGATTTCTCATCTCCTTTTCTTTCTTCTCGTTCTCCTCAAGATCTATGGGGTTTTGTCTGCACCATAAACTTTATAGCTATGAACAATTCAGACTGTGCAACAAGACAGAACTTTCAAACAATAATATCACAGCATAAACCTTTACAAAGAGTCGGTAACGACCCGCGTACCGCTAGTAGATATTGTTTTCTTTGGGCTTTTCCTTCCGAGCTTCCCCTCAAGGTTTTTAAAACGCGTCTGCTAGGAGAGGTTCTCACATCTTTATAAAGAATGCTTCATTCCCCTCTCCCACCAATGTGAGATCTCACAATCCACCCCCTATGGGGTCCAGCGTCCTCGTTGACACTCATTCTCCTCTCGAATCGATATGGGATCTCACAATCCACCTCTTTTGGGTTCTAGCGTCTTCGCTGACGCTCGTTCCCCTCTTGAATAGGTATGGGATCTCGCAATCCACCCCTTTGGGAGCCAACGTCTGGCACTTGTTCCCCCTCCAATCGGTAAAGGATCTCACCATCCACCCCTTTGGAGAGCCAACATCCTCAAACTTGTTCCTCTCTTCAATTGGGGTGGGTCTCACACTCCACCCACTTCCATGAATCATGAGTAATAAACTTGTATACATAAACACAAACTAGATGATAATGGTTGTAAAAACTAAGAAAACCCTATATAAACCATAAGATTACGCTTGAGCTGCATTAACACAGAGCTCTGCAGGATGAAATTTAGTAACAAAGAAGATCTAAACCACCGGTTAAGCAAACAACTTAGGCTATTGGGTGAATTTTGTATGTCATTATGAAGAGAAAGGAAAATCTCCAGAGATTTCATTTCAGATTCAAGCTCAAAAGTTAAACCATCAACTTGAAGAACCTCAAAATTTCTAAACGATTTCATTTCAGATTCGGCCCCAAAATGATAGAACCACAGATCTAAAACCAATTCAATCTCTCTCTGTAGAAGAATAAACATTAACGCTAGTAAATAACGCACCGTCGCCATTCGCGTCGAGCATGGCCATCCTCTCGCATTTCGCTCGGGTCGGGGAGAATGGGTCCATCGGAGACAAAAATACCGCCATTGTCAATACCACCAAGGCTGGCGGCAACATTGTAATGCTCTCCATCAGCCTCAACATGATCAAAGGGAGATACGTAGCTCGGATTAGGATCCGAAACTCCGAAGTCGTAAACGTCGGATAAATTAGGATTAGTGGAGTTTCCGGCGCTGTGGACATCGGAAACGACGTCGTCTTCATGAGGGAGTTGGTCGGCGGTAGAGAAAGTGGTAGAAGAATAATAACGGTGGGAAGGAAGAGAAGAGTCATAAGCCATGTAGGCATCGTCGTCAAAGGGCGGCGTTGTAGGCGAATGGCGCCGCTGTTCTTCGTGTTCTTCATTGCTGAAAGCGTCGAAGGAAGCCATTCTTGTGAATCGGGATTGGATTTCTGAGTTTGTTGAGGTTAGGGAATTCTTGCGGTGATGATGAACGCGGTGTTCGAATCAAGAAACAGTATTCTGGAAAATGCCATAATCATAAACTGTTTCGATCTGCGAGCGAAACGTGTTAGGCATTTGAAAATATTCGCAGAATCCAAGAACTTATCTAAAAAAGTAACGTCGTTTACACGGATAATTTAAATTTTAACATTTTTTTTTATATATAATTACTTTCAAAACAATAATTCTTTATTTACAATTACTTTTTAGAAGATTGACTAAGCGGGCAGTGAAGTGAAGTTCTTGAAGCGGAAATGGGAGACCGGTGCTTTCCAAATTCGATGCCCGACTTCGTACCAGAAACTGCAGCTGCTGTAGAATCAATTCTCTCGATGCCTTACCCAATTATCTCGGAGCGCTTAAAACGGGCGGCTTTGGACCTTAAAGAAGCTGTAATCCTCTTGTTGTTTTGCGTGTCGCTTTAATTTGGGTGGTTTTTTTTTTTAATGCCCACAAGGTGTTTGTGTTAATGTTTCAGATAGTTTTGGAGACATGGGGAGTAACTGGGCAACGAGTGCGAGACTTCACTCTCTATTCTGGGGCTCTTGGAACGGCTTTCTTGCTGTTGAAAGCTCATGAGGTCACTGCCAACCGCATTGATCTTAGTCTCTGTGCTCAAATTGTTAAGGCCTGCGATCAAGCATCTTCCATGTCCACGTAATATTTGTCATTTTCTCCTTTCTCCTTTCACTTTCATTTTTTATATGAAGATATTAGTTTCCCAGAAGATGACTCAGCTGTAATTGTTTATGCCATGAACAAAAACATGTATTAATGAGATCCTATATCGGATAGAGGAGAACGAAGCATTCTTTAGAAGGGTGTGGAAACCTTTTCTCAGCATACATGTTTTAAAAATGTCAAGGGAGAGTCCTAAAGGAAAAGCTCAAGAGGACAATATCTATTAGCAATAAGCTTGGGCTATTATGAATGGTATCAAAGCTATACGCGAGGCGATGTGCTAGCGAGGAGGCTAAGCCTCGAAGGTGTGGACACGAGGCGGTGTGCCAGTAAAGATGCTGGGTCCCAAAGTGGTGGATTAAGGGTCCCACATCGATTAGAGAAAAGAACAGTGCTAGCGAAGGCGTTGGGCCCTGAAGAGGGGATGGATTGTGAGATCCCACATCAGTTGGAGAGGAGAACGAAATATTATTTATAAGGACAGAGAAACCTTTACCAAGCAAATGCGTTTTAAAAATCTTCTAAGAAAGCCGGTTGTTACACTATCACTCTATAGTTTTCAGACTTCTTTATTTTGTGGAATGGTGATAGGGATGTGACTTTCATTTGTGGGCGTGCGGGTGTCTGCGCTATTGGAGCTGTGGCAGCAAGGCGCGCTGGTGATGAGCAGTTGCTCTGCTACTATCTAGGCCAATTCAATGAGGTAAAGAGAATAATTATCCCTGCTGAAGTTCTTGATGTCTAGCTTTTAATTTGAAGGGTTTTCTGGATTGTAACAGATTAAGCTGCCAAGGAATCTCCCGGATGAGTTGTTATATGGGAAAGTGGGCTTCTTGTGGGCATGTCTATTTCTAAACAAACACATCGGCGAAGGAACAGTCGCGTCGGTTCACACGGTAAGTAAGATTAGCTTCCATGATCAACCTGAGCTCATCTTAGTCAATAATGTATGACTCTTCACATTTGAAATTCTGCAAAACAATTGTTTAGAGGGCAATAGTAGAGGAAATCATCCAGCGTGGGAGGGCGCTGGCGAAGGGAGGAGCATCGCCATTGATGTTTGAGTGGTACGGCGAGAGGTATTGGGGTGGTGCACATGGACTGGCAGGGATTCTGCATATCCTGATGGACATGGAGCTGAAGCCGGATGAGATTCAAGACGTGAAAGGCACTATTAGGTATTATTAGAAATCACGACTCTTCGTAGTGGTATGATATTGTACACTTTGCTTAGGTTTCTCCAAAGGGCCTCATACTAACGGAAATAGTATTCCTCACTTATAACTCTTCATCTTCCACTAAATTAGCCAACGTGGATTCCCTCTTAACAATCCTCAACAGGTACATGATTCGAAACCGTTTCCCCAATGGAAACTACCCTTCAAGTGAAGAAGACAGGGGCCGAGATATACTCGTGCATTGGTGTCATGGTGCTCCTGGAGTCGCCCTCACGCTTGTCAAAGCAGCAAAGGTGTTTGGAGAAGAAGAGTTTGTGCAAGCGGCTGCGGATGCAGGAGAGGTAGTGTGGAGGCGTGGGCTGCTTAAACGAGTTGGGATATGTCATGGCGTAAGTGGGAATTCATATGTGTTTCTGTCACTCTACCAACTGACGGGGAAGGTGGAGTACTTGTACAAGGCCAAAGCCTTTGCTTGTTTTCTGCTTGATAGAGCTCACAGGCTGATTGCAGAAGGAGAAATGCATGGAGGCGATAGCCGCTACTCTTTGTTTGAAGGAGTTGGAGGGATGGCTTATCTTTTTCTGGACATGATCGAGCCCTCCATGGCCAAGTTTCCAGGATATGATCTCTGAGGAGAGATGTAAGTATTTTGATTTGTAAAATAAATAAATTTCCCATCTTTTTCTTTGCTTCATATTCCACTCGATGTACTGCTGCAGAACCCAAACATGGCGATGTATGATCTTGAAAAAGGTAGCTAAGGCGTATATGATTTGTAAGAAGAAACCTGGGTTCTGTTATCGAGCTATTTACTCAATGACTGCAATTTATAGTTTATGATAGATCGGAACTTCTTTCAATTATTTCTCTAATGAATCAAATTTCCACCATGAATAAGGAATCTGCGTTTCTGCTAACCTTTCTACTAGAACCATATCTGCTGAAAACTGGCTATCGCTTACAACAAATTCATTAAAACTTTCGCAAACAAAGTTTAAGGGTTTCTTTGCAGTTTCACAAGCAGATGTTTCTGGATTACTCAAAAGTTCTTGAGTCAAATTCTAGCTTATATGCTTGAGATTGGTGCATTTAAGCCAATCCAACAAGCTTCTCACTGATCTCCCACAGCTTACGGGCCTTTTCTTCGTCACTGGCTTCTTGGGATAGCTGGTTTTGGAACGAGGCTGAGTTCTTGTTCCAGCTCCAATATACACCTGATTGTTCCAGGCTTGAATCACATACAACCTGAAGTCAAAGATTCAATTGCCCTTTTATCTTAATAACTAGTTAATTTGTTAGTAGTTTAGTTTTTCAGGACATGGCTGACCTGTGCAAGTCGTTTCCCGGCTTCTTCTTCAGATACATAGCCCTTGGTGATGTACATCTGGAAGGGTGGAAATAAAATTCTAAACAGAGGAATGTGCTCTCTAAACAACCCTGTCGTGGCAATGCAGCCAGGGTAGAGGGAAGCAAAAGTTATTCCCGTTTCTTCATGATATCTCCTGTGGAGCTCTTGCATGGTGAGCATGTTGCATACTTTGCTATCCTTGTAGGCCTTTGCTCCATCAAAATCTCCTCCATCTATCATGGTCGAGCTGTTCAGGCCATTCAAACCGCTTGCTAGCCCTCTCAGATCACCCAGGTTTGCTTTTGGGGGCACATTCCCAGCCAATGTGTTTGTGTTTCCTGGAACCAAACTTAAAAAAGTTGCTTAGAAAATCATTCGTTCTCTTGTTCTAGAACTCAAAATTAATGCTCTCAATTAGTACCCGTGATGGAGCCTACAATTATAACACGCTTGGATGTATAATCTGATTGCTTTATGTCATCTAGCAGCAGGCGTGTGAGGAGGAAGTGACCAAGGTGATTAGTCCCAACACTGAGTTCAAAGCCTTCAGCGGTGAAACTTGGCTCCTTTGCTGTTGGCAAGTAGACAGCAGCATTGCATACAAGCACATCAAGAGGCATACCCGACCTGCGGAAGCTATCCACAAATTGCCTTACACTGTCAAGTGAGGCAAGGTCTAAATGCATAACAGTATAGTTTTCTTTGGCTATGCCTGCTGATTTTGCTGCCATTTGAGCTTTAAGGAAGTTCCTGCATGCCATAATTACATGCCATTTTCCTGTTTCAGCTAGAGCCTTGGCCGTGGCTAGACCCAGTCCCGAGGAAGCTCCCGTAATGATAACATTTCCTTTCCTCAAGGTCTTGTTTCCTTCCGAAGGCGCCTGGTTGATTTCTGAAATTGTTGCAGTCTGAGCTCTAATGGCTCCATCAGGTAATCTTCCTTGCTACATGTTCATGGATAGCTAATTTATATTGCAAACATTTCCACTATCAAAGTCTAACCAGAAAATTGAAAAATGGGCATATTTACCTTATTTCTCCTCAACCTGAGAGATTTGGATTTAACTTCAAAATGTTCTGAAAATGGAAGTCCTGAAAGTCCAGTATTCTTCAGAACAACAGTACCAGCTGCATACACCTCTTTGTGGATGGAAATCGTGGGAGAAAAAGAGGCTGCTTGTAGAGCCATGGCAGGCAAAGATTGCTCCTTATCAAGATTGCTCCTGCTGCAAAGATGGTGTCTGTTTTCTTATCGAGATTGCTCCTGCTGCTTGCCACGTTCGCCTCTCTGGTCCAATCAGGTTCGTCACTGGAATCCCCTTTTGATATACATCGTCTAAACCATTCCAGTAAGTATGGGCTATTTATGTGGAGGTCCAGCTAGCTAAGGTTGGATCCAACCTGTGCATGTTGGGCCTATAATGGAATGGGCAACAATATTACCTTATCTTCCATATTATACACGCTGTTATGATATTGTCTATTTTGAGCATGAACGCTCATAGTTTTGCTTTTGGTTTTTTCAAAAGACCTCATACCAATTAAGATGTATTCCTTACTCATAAACTCAGGATCATTCTCTTAATTAGCCAAACGTGGAACTTCCTCCCAACCATCCTCAACAAAATAAATCATTATAGAAAGGAAAAATGGAGTGTGGTAATGATATTAAATAATTGTGTGTGGTGCACGGTTAAAATCACTATTGGCTTTGGTTAGAAGGTAATTAACTGGGATTAGAAATGATGGAGGTTAATTTATCTACGTTATATATGAAATGTGGGTAACACTTTCGGTCCTTTATTTGGAGCTGCACACTGCATTCATTATTATCACTGCCGATCTCTCATGTGTTTTGGTAATCAGCCAGGACGATTCTTTTCTTATCTTGGCGTCGCAGATAAGAAATGAAATGTACATCACTTTACCCTCTAGGCCGGCTGCTGGGGTCCATTCTTTCTCGTAAACATTCTTACTCTCTCTCTCTCTGTTTTTTTTTTTTTTGTTTTGCTTTGCTTTCTTGTTGATTTGGAATTTGGGAAATTATTGCTGTAACTCAACGATGAAACCTAGCTTTGATACCATTTGTAACAGCTTTAGTCCACCACAAATATTATTCGCTTTGGTCCGTTACTTATTGCCGTTGGCCTCACGGTTTTAAAAGATGCATTTTAAAATTGTGAGGCTAAGGACGATACGTAACGAGCAAAAACGAATAATATCTACTAGCTATAAGCTTGAACTATTACAATTGTTTTTGTTATTGATCTTTTTTTTTTCTTTCTTTGTGTTCTTACCTTATTCTTGTTTCTACCCATTTCTCATATAATATACAAGAAATTTCCCCTCTTGGATTACTTTTTTCTCCACTAAAGTTTGGTCATATTATGTCATCCAAGTTCATAATCAGGTAATTGTAATATTCAATAACAGTGAGGACTAAATTGCAGGATAATGAAACGTAATTTTGAAGGGTTTCTTAATTTAAGTATAATTTTGAAGCTTTTTGCTGTGCTTGGACATTATCTTAGTTTTAGTTTTTAGTTCTGGGTGCATTTAAACTTATCATATTGGCTGTTGATGGAGCAAAATCTGTGTACATAGAAAGAAATTATATATATATATATATATATATATATATATAATGTAATAATTATTACATTTCAGTAATGGTGGGAAGCTAAAAGTTGGTGTCAAATATGAAAATAGAATGTGCTTCCATGCCATCCTCTTGGCCGAAAAACAGAGCCCCTGATGGATGATGGACCCAATGAAGAGGAGATCACCAAACTGTCTCCTGCTCGCTGGCCTGTGCTGAAATTAAACAGAGCAATGCAGTGGAAAACAGACCGCAGAACATAAAGCAAACGCCAAAAGATCAATGGAACAAAAAAAAAAAAAAAAAAAAAAAAAAAAAAAAAAAAAAAAAAAAAAAAAAAAAAAAAAAAAAAAAAAAAATCTAAACCAGAACATGCTTGTGGGTGATAGTGATAGTCTCTAGAATCTCGTGCCTGATACTAACAATAGGAACCAAGAAAAAGAACTGGCCCACGAGTGCACTGCCTGCACTGATTTGATGCTCTCCCCACAAGACTTGGCGCAAAAGGCAGCCTTTTTGGTTTAATCTTCATCCTTTTGAAAGAAGGGCTTCATGGGGCAGGATGAGGAAGAAGGTGAAACTGAGGGTCTCTGAAGATCAGAGCCATATGAAGGCTGTGGCTGCAGCAGCAGATTATTGGTGGTGTCCAAATCGTCCCACACAGGGCTACCAGGGCCCCAACCGGCTGGCATCGCGTTTAACCAAGCCTCTGCTATTTCTCTCCAAACCATTTCCTGTGAGTTTGAAACACCCTCTGCCTCTTGTACGTTGTCCTCTGTCACAGCCCCATTATTGGACTCTAATTCTATGTCATTGTCAACATCCTGTTGAGGAGCCTGCGAGGCCTCTTCTTCTTCTTCTTCTTTATTATCTTTATTTAGAAATAGTTCTGGAAAATTAAGCCTTGCATTCGCTCCTCTCAACTTGAAAGCCTCCCGATCGTAGGCCAAGGCAGCGTCTTCTGCAGTGTCGAATGTACCAAGCCAGAGACGATTCCTGTTTTGAGGAAGACGAATCTCGGCTACCCATTTCCCCCAATGTCTCTGCCTCACTCCTCTGTATAGCTTCGTGGTATTTAAAGCCCGCACTTGAGGTCTAATCCCTGCTGCCCTTGTGTTTAAATTAAGAGACTCATTCCATTGCTGAAGAAATTGCTGATGTTGTTGTTGTTGCTGTTGAAACGATGCAAACTCCCCCATGAAGTAGGGTGGGTAACCAAAGCCAAATCCATGTTGGGTAGAAGCGATCGGCGCCAATTGCGGCCGGACTGATGGGCGGTGATGAACCACAGGCGCTACAGGCTCTACAAGCTCTGTTTTGGATTGATGGGGGAATTGGGATGGTTGGAAAGGAAACGGAAAGAGAGGTGTTGCAGAAGAAGAGGAAGCATGAGAAACAGAGCCTGGGTTGTTAAAAGGAAATGAAGGATGAGAAATTGGGTGATGATTTTGAGGGTCAGGGATGTTGTTAAAAGGCCGCAGTGGCTTCCCTTGTCGCCGGCGATAATGATCATGATCGGTATCTTTACCTTCATCCATAGCTTGAGTTGGATTGGAGAGTTCACGTGGGGTTTGGGGGATTGATTGAGAGATGAAGAAGAAAGTGAAGAGAGGATGGGTTTATAAATAGGAGGAGAAGAGGAAGAGGTTCTTTTGAACCGGAACTCTCTGCCTTTGAACCCATGGCCATGCTTGGCCCCACGAATCCAACCAGCATCTTCCATGGTCCCTCTCTCTGGTTTCTTTAGCTTAAACTTCAAACCATGGCACCATTAAAAGGATAAAAGTACGAGATTTTGAGCCAATAATAAACACTTCCTTTCAATTGTTGTTCTTAGTGTCTTCCACGTTTTGGAAATATTTGCTACCATTTTTGGATTTGAGTCTTGTTCTTAAAGTAAATACATCTTTCTTCCTTCCGCTCTGCTCCCACTGTGGACTGACTTTTTAGTTCTTGAATATACCAAAACGTGTCCTTCAACACTTTTAAAGTCATTTTTTCAAATGTGCTCTAAATTTTAACCGTCGGATATCATGTGCGTGAAACACTTCTCTCTAACCAGAATCTCTTTCTATGTTAGAGGAGAGGGGACAGCGCGTGAAAGTTGGTTTTTAGTTATTGTTTCAACACCCTAACTCTCTTGTTGGCTCGTTACTTGAGTTTTGTACTTCCCGTTTTAGTTCATTTTAGTATTCCTATCAAGATTATGATTTATAAAAATATCTTATAAAAATATCATAAATTAAAATTTAAGAAAATATGAAGCAGCGAAGGGGTTTGCTTTCGGTGCAAGTGTGGGAAGAAGAAGAGAAGAAGGAGAAGAAATTGGAGATCTTTTGTGGCGGTCAAAAATGTCAAAGAACCATACGAAAGTCGGTGAAGAAACGGACACGTGTCATGCTCTTAGATCTGGTCCTCTCAATCATTTTGTCTCAGTCAACACTTCATTATTCACCTTTTTTTTTTTCAAATATAATTAATAATTAAATAAATATCTAAACTCTCTTCACCTTATAACTTCCTTTGGAAATTTAAATTATGATAATACTTAATCATGTCTTCAAACTATTATTTAAATAAAAAACTAAAAATTAATAATTAATTACCGTCATTCGCTCATGTGGGTTATATGTCAAGCTTTATCTGTCGTACTAGAAGCTGTTAGAAATTACGAACTTCTACAAACTCTCAGCCTCGGACCAGTGAAAATAATGTTATTTTCTTATAAACTTATGACGTTCCTCGTAATTAGTTAATGTGTGACTACTGCTTGACGAAAAACATCCGTAACTGCTCAAACTAGTTGCATAGAGTCAAGGGTTGGTGTCCTTTTGGTGGGAACATAGCCACCAACTCTTTGTTTTGTTAGGGGCAATGTTTTTTCTGCCCAAATGACAAGGAACGATGCATGAATTTGACTAAAGTTAAGGATGGAATAATTATCAAATTTGCCGACGGTTGTTCCCATAATTGCATGCCATTATCTTTAGCTCTACACTTCCAATTACACACAAAGTGGTAAGGTCGGTGGCTTTGTGTTGAGTGCTCAAAAGACTTCGGAAACTAGATTTTACCATTCCATTTTCAAGCTTAATCATCAATTGGGTTCGGATCGACCACATTGGGTACCTAGAGGACCTCGGTATACAAAAGACTCGATCTTCAGTAGCAGAGGCTTGGGGCTGGAGGAGCACGTACCCTCTCGCCTTATAGATAGATTTGTTTGACCATAGTTTAGGTTTTACTTTGTTTTATCAGTTCATTTAATTGTCAAGATGGAAATATTTTTAAGCTCATTAATTTTAATAAAATAAAATTTAAAAAACATAATTAGCTACTGAAATTTAAAAATGTATCTTTTGAGAGAACTGGCCCTAAACTAAGGGCAATCTCAAATTAGGGGAGGGGTTAGGGCTTCCTAGGCTTACATACCATTTTGGGCCGCTTCGGCTCCTTTGGCCCAGCTCTTTAATGGCTTTCGGACCAAACCATTTGAATTTCACCTGACTTTTGTATTTGGGCTTTCGGCCCATTTAATAAACTTGTGGGCTTATTTGTTCTAGACCCAATTGTTAAAGATGTCCACTTTATCCGCCTCGAACCGATAGTTCCTGTTCAAACGAGAAATGAATGAAGGAGTGGAACTAGGGACGAGAGTATATTTCATGTTCTCATCTTGGTCGGCTTATTTTATATATATATAACTATATAAAATGAGAAGTGCAATTAATATTTTAAATTTAATTAGTCAATTAACTCAAAACATTTAATTGATTTAAACACTAATCATTATATTTGATTTAAATGAGTCACTAAATTTAGGAAGAAATAAAAAAAAGGGAAGAAAATTACAAATCTCTCCCCATTAATAAATTTGAATGAAAATAAATATTTGCGTAATGGGTAGGAATAACTCATCGACTCACCATTTAAACAAAAAGCAACTGTAATGCCTCTTTTTTTAATGTCCCATCAAATTATTCTTTAAACGTGTCTTAAAATCCTTTAAAGCACCCATTAAAAGTATTTTATTTGTAAATATTAAGTATGAAATGGAATTTAAAACCGACAATTGGGAAACTAAGATAGGATTGTGATTGGATGATGGACCCCCCAAGCTTCTACCATCGGACGCCCCAGACCCAGACAAGCGCCAAAATCAGGGTGCCACCGCCCATCCCTTGTCTCCTTCACCCAACTCCCTCAGACCACCTCTCCATATTGTCAATTTCGAGCCTAAATTCTTGTAACTTTACTTTGAGCTTCCCAACAAGCCTAATCCAGATATTGTGCATTTTGAGCAGAACGCGTAGCTTTACTTTCAACTTTCCCAAACACTCATGATCATTCCCTAAATTAACAACACATGTACTTTCATAACACCATAATAATTAATTATTTTATTTTAAATATAGTTAAAAGGGTATATATATTTTTTAATATGAGTTGAAAATATATTTACATGAGTCGGATGAGTGGGGAATTAGGTGGGGACGAAGACAGCAAATATATTCTCAAACCCCATTTATCTGACTCGAAAAAATGTTTAACTAAATTTCAAAGTCCCTCATTAATTATTATTTTGAAATAGATAATATTTAAATGTTTAACTTTTATCAATATATTAATTAAAATATTTCAATGGTTTTGTTTAAAACATTATTAAAGTTTAATAGAAAACTATTTTCTTTTTTTTAATAAAGATTTTGGAAAACTAGCCTTTTAGTTTTAGAAAGAGGTACATATTCGAAGGAATGCTCGGGTTGGCTTGAATGATTCGCCGTTGGCTTCCCTTTCTCGCTCTCTCCGCGCCGTTTTCTTTCAAGTTCTCTTGAATCTCCCGGAAGGTCTGTTTTATCATGCTTTTGGAAGAAGGAGACGAAGCGGCTGATCGGAAGTTGTATCCCTGTAAAACTCTGAACATGAATTCAAGTCCCCTCTGTAACCGTTCGAATCAGGTAGGCTATTCTCGCACAGGTCATTATATTCCTCGTGAATGTTCTAAAGCTCAAATGTGCCTTCAAAAGATTTTGTACATAATTTCGTCTGTTCCTCGCCAAGAATCGTGCGCGGATTTGCAAATCGGAAAATTAGACCTCAATAGGAACGTAAGCGGTGGAGGAGGGTTTCGTACTGATTTTAATCTGAGATTTGGCGCGTTTACGGAGGAAGAAGACCAGGAATCAGTGGCTTTTGTGGAGAATCGCGAAGGCGGCGGTGGAAGTGGTTCGGTAGACGCGGTGCCTGTTACTGGTTCCGCAACAGAGAAGTGCTCGGTCGGCGATGGCGAGAACGCGAAATGCTCTGAATCCCCTGTCGCTGAGACTGAGAAATATGAAGTCGAAGAACACGCGATGGAAATTCCAGAACGTTCGCAGATCGCCGAATTTCACACTCAAAGAGGCGATGCTGAAAACATCAGATTAGATGAAAACAAAAGCGAAAAGACAGTCGAAGAAGAAGAAGGTAAAGAGCTTAAACCCACGGGGAGTTCCGTTGATCGAAGCGACGATATGAAAGCCGAAACAGTGCCGTTTAGAGGAGCGAAATGCCAGAGCGGTGGCGATTGTCTAGGTTTGCTCATCGAAGCGGCGAGACTGATATTTGGAGACATTGGTGAGAACGAATTCGACACTGAGTCAACTCAAGAAGAAAATGAGTCTAACAGCGAGTTAGACATCAAAGATCCGAGTCAACTCGAGAAAGTAATTTCTGAATCGCATTCAAGCGAGCCAAAGAGGAAGCTCGAAGGAAATTGGATGGTGATGAATTTAGTGAGAGATATCGACGACAGGTCTCCACTGGTGAGGTCAAAGAGAGGAAGAAGCCAGGTCTTGCCATGTCGTTATAAAGACTCAGTTCTGGAGCCATGGCGATCCCAACCATTGTCGAGCAAGGTCAAGGTCTCAAGAAGACAACGGCGATCGAGGTATCGCACGTAGATCAGTAAACATTGATAATCTTTTACATCTTCATTAGCAACAAGTAATTTGCCCACCTGTGGATTATGTATATAGCCGCAGGTCCACAACCACCAAGTAATTATAAACATAATGCAAAGTGTTATTGTTGCTTTTCTTCTGGTTGCTGCTGAAATTGCTTCTGCAAACATGGCAGAAGCTGAAACTGCAGAGGACACGAGAAGACTGACAGAGGATCCACCATTAATGGCGACTGTACAGTGCAGGGTAAGAGCGCAGAACTGATTTCAGAAGGTGGGTTTCATTTTAATTATGTGTTCTTCTCGATTCCCTCTTTTTTACTCTCTTTTTGTGGAGAAGATGGAGATAATGATGAATGGTAGCGTATTAAAAATCAAAAGTTGTCTTGTTAGGCTTCACTTCATGCGTCTCAAGTCCTAGGAAACATAAATCATCTCTCTCCCAATCGTCTAAATGGGAAACAAATGTCAAACCTTGTTCGTAATCTATTTATATTAAACATTGAACAAATGTTAACTTTATAATGGATATTTTAGGCCTAAATTGTGTAGCAAAGCTGGAAATTTGTTATACTATTTTATATTCTATATTCTTCTTGGGGTCACATGAACTACTGCCTTTCTTCGAAATGG